AATAAGAAGTGGATCTTATTTGTGGAAGGGCGAAACGGGCGGTGACTATGAGACGCCTTCATTATAGCAATCCTTCTCTATCGCATGTATTTCTATGTCTTACTTTATCGCTCTCACGTAACTTCAGATAGACCATCGGTACTTTCTGACCCTGTATTAGTTAAATCGCCTTTACATCAGATGTGAAATAACTATCATGAAATTGAAAATTACTTTGATATCTTATCTTGTACATACACTGCGCGATATTAAGCTGCGTTTTCAATGATCTGTTATGTGTTCTACTCTTTTTACATCTTAAAATTGTAATTTATATGTTTATTTTATATTTATTATTTGTACTGGTGCATATTTTTCTTACATGCTTTTTAATTTTTTGTTTTGTTGTTTGCACTATTTGTTCTACATTTTTTTCTCATTATTTGCTTCACTTTTAAGCTGTTGTACTGTTGACCTTACATTTCACTTTTTTCCTCCGCTTGTTTTTTCTTCTAAATTGTGACTTAATTTTAAATTGTAACTTATCCTGTAATTGCCCGTTGGGTATTTTATTTCAATAAATAAATACATAAATAAATACATAAATAAATAAATCTTCTAAAGGGCGCCACTAGCGACCATTAGGACGTATTTAAACCGCCAAAACTTTTTTATGCCAAGTTTTACAAATACATTAAAATAAAAGTAGTGTTTCAAATTGGTGTATAATTTCTTTATTTTCTTTTAGAAGAAAAACAAGAGGCGAACTCATAAGAATCTCTGCAGCTGTAATGGGTATTGAATTTTCTTATGCGGCTGAAACCGCTTTTGTATCTCCCACCTTATTGAAAATTGGAATTAGGCACAAACAGATGACTCTGATATGGGCGCTCTCACCTCTTATCGGATTTTTCCTTACTCCTCTACTAGGATCACTGAGTGATCGTTGCCAGTTAAAAATTGGAAGAAGACGACCATTCATTTGTATATTGTCTCTTGGAGTATTAATGGGTGAGGAAAATATTTGAGCAAAAAATAAGAAAAATTGTAAAAAATCGAAAAGGATCTGAGCTGAATTGCCAGGTCTCCGCTTTAAAATGGGAGTCTCCGGTAGTCAATCTACGGAGAATGCTTAGGACATCATTCAAAAATGTTGTACTAAAAAAAGTGTGTAGGTAAAATATAAAAAACACAGCCCTATATCACACAAGTTAACATTCTTAACATTCGTATCCGAAAATTCACGTTTAAGTCAAATAGAACATTTGTACGGACAATAAAAAATTCAGTACATTTCTATGGTATTCTAAAAATTAAGGAGAACGAGAGATAATTTCAGCCGACATAGTATACACGAACATTTAATTTTAGGTTTAATATTGGTTCCAAATGGTGAAAGTTTGGGTTATGCATTAGGAGACAAAAAACTTTCAAATACTTCAACGACTTCAATGACTAGATATGACGCTGAACAAATAGAATACAATGTCAATCATTATATTAATAATAATATTTCAATTAATGCAAATGAAACATCATACAACTATCATCCGTGGGGCATAGCTATCACGATAATAGGAACAGTTCTACTCGATTTTGATGCTGACGCTTGCCAAAGTCCAGCAAGGGCATATCTTTTAGAAGTAACTGCACCAGGTAAGAAAAATTCATATGTGCATCCTACGATTAAAAAAATCATGAGTTACAGAAATATATTTCAACATCTACCTAAACTAAAACAAGGAATTTGTAAACTTATTAAAAAGTACCAATCAAATTGTAAAGTTTTTTTTTTTAATTGCCAAATTTAAACAAACGGATAATGGCAATGTCTATCCTTTAAAAACATGTAATAACTTTGCCAAGTTGTTTTGAAAATCAGTCGGTTTTCTTCTTCTAAAGTGATTAGTGTAGTCCTCTCTAGAACAGATCAAAACTACCTCAATTTGATTTTTATGGAATCCAACAAGGTAACTTACCTTACCCCAATTTTCCTTGTTGGCACTTATCCAGCAATAACCTAAGTAGTTCTTGTTTTGTGAATCTGACATTAATGAAGCAAAAAATCTTCCTGACAGAAACTTATTCGATTATTGGCAGTTGTTTGATAAAACATGATCTCCAATGGGCTCAGTGGTTCATCAACTTTTCATTTATGGACTGGTCACCATTGACTTCATCATCGCCATCGTCATCGTCGTCCTGATTCTCATCATCGTCCTCAAAGTCATTATCATCCTCATCGTCATACTCACCTTAAAGTTAACCCGAATTGTATATAAGGTTCTATATAAGAGATAGAATGAGTTTGAAAATATTTCAGAACTCCGGATATAAATATATTTCTATCTCTTAAAATGATGTAGATTCAAATGTTGATTTCTCGAATTTGGAATACTATATTGTCTTTTATGATTTCATCTTCTTTTAAAGCCAATTAAAATTAATTATATAGTTTCTATCTTTTTAGTTTCTAACCCATATGCATCTTTTTAGATGACCACGCACGTGGTTTGAGTACTTTTAGTATAATGGCAGGACTTGGTGGTTTTTTTGGATATGCTCTAGGTGGAATAAATTGGGATGCCACAGTTCTAGGTAAATATAATGTTATGCAACTGTTCCAGTGTATTTTAAACTAATTTTAGGCAATTTACTTGGTGGTCACGTGAGGGCCGTATTTACTGTTATTACAGTATTATTCGTCATTTGTGTAATATATACAGTAACGAGCTTTGCAGAAGTGCCATTACTAAAGTTAAATAGTGACACAAACTATAACACGGAAAATAGCACAACACACGATCTTGATTATGGAACAATTAATAGAAATGGGAATGTATTAAGTGTAAGTAGAAAATACTGAAAATATTTCGTCCTCATAAAAGTGTACATATTGCTGGTAGTGTACGATGAAATTAGCGAATCTAAAATCTGAGTGACGAAAACTCGGCAGTAATTATTGATCAGCAAATATGAAAAAAACATATTGAACTGCACTTAATCAACCATTCAATCTAAAGGTGTTTTAAATGAAATTTTTGTCTTAAAATCAATCAAAGATTAATTCCTTAAGGTTTTTGAACATACTTTTAACACCCTATGTACCATGATACAATCATTTTAATGATAGTATAATCTTATGTTTCAGACCAATACAAAATATTCATCGTTAGATGAAGAAACCGAGGACTTTAATAATATGCCTCCTTTAGAAACAAATACTTTGTCTGATCTGGATACCTCAATGTTTTTATATCTAAAAAGTATAGTCTATATGCCACACTCAATAAGAATACTGTGTATAACAAATTTATTTTGTTGGATGGCACACGTTTGCTATTCTTTGTATTTTACAGACTTTGTTGCAGAAGCAGTTTTCAATGGCAGTCCAATGGTAAGTATTTGTGTTGTGTTACAAAAGTCAGGAATGTTGAGTGTGAAATAATGAATACCTAAATAGTCTTCGCCTCTTAAACTTTCCAAGAAGAAAAAACACAGAGGCTTTTTTGGTAATATTATCGGATGGTTCTTCATTACAAACACTATTTATAATATTACTCTCAATTAAAATTACATTATTATTCATAGAGAAAAAGATTTTTAGGAACAATTACTCATACTCAAAAAAAACAAGCTCTATCGTATTCTAATGAAACAAAAACTACTTTGGACTTTTTCTCAAAACATTCATTTTTAATTCATTGTCAACATTCTTCACTTTTGTTATACGCTGCATATTTAAATGTGCATGAAAATAAAGGATAAGTTAGCAACCTATAGATCTTATCAGTCTATTTTAATGCAAATAGTGATTGAGCGTAATCAATCATTATTTTTTTTGTGTGTATGGCAATATCCATAGATATCCTTGTTATATGCTTTACGTGATAAGTTATTGCTGAATATTGTATAAGTATTTTAATTATTTTGTAATTTATTATAATGTATTTATTTTATTCAGAAATAAAGATTCTGCGCTGCCAATAGCATAACTGAATATTTTATACTAATGTTATGATTGGTGTGTGCTGCTAATGAAAATAATTTTACTCAAAAAACGGTGCATTTCAGTGCCATTAGACTAAAATCCATTTTTAAGTAAAAAGGAACTGAAATTTCAATTATTTTTATCAAATTTTCGAATATGAATACAAAAATATATCCACGCTAAAAACTATGACAGTATTTATACCTCCAGCCTTGCTTTTCACCAAGAAGAAATCTAGATGGGATATAGGTACTCATAATACGTGGAAAACCCTTAAAATTTCCATAGAGGTCAAGAATATGAGGTTGACACTAGATCCAAAACCTAATCGGAATATGCATACGGTAACAATAAAAGAACAAGTCAAGACAAGTTCTATGAGCAAGTCGATATCTCAAAGTAGAACTAAGGTGACTCAGAACTTATCCAAAAAAAAATTTGAATATACAGGGGATTCTTACAAATACAATTTTGTAAAGAAAAAATCAAAAAGAGCAGTTCGAAAATGATTTATTAAAAATACACTTCTGCACGGCACTGGAAACTGGTCTACTGTAAAACCTGACCTCGCACAATGTGACGGTCATGGCGGTGTGATAAAAACAGACAAAAACTTTCGCAAGGAAAGAAATAAATAGAATTTTATAGCACCTATTTTATATCAGCAAATTCAACTGATTTTGCCTCTATTGTTATTATTAATTAATTAAATTAATTTGTGATTTTAAATAATAAAATAATTTGACATACCTGATGTTAACAATAATGTTCAAAATTTTATCCACCGGTGTGTAAACACATTTGGGTCCGTCTTACTCATTTCTGCGAACTAACACAAATGTTACCTTGCTTCACCATAACACAAATGCTTCACCATAAATTAAAAATCTATCCATCAACTCCAAGTTGCTATACACGCAAGAAATTTTTGACACTAACTACTAAAAAACTATTGTGAACACCACAGATAACAGGTAAACACTATTACAACGACGATTGTAAAATCGGATTTCAGTATTCGGAGTCGCTGAGGTCATGTGGCTCTCCACGCGTATTGCGAATGACGCTAGAGACTACAGTTGTCCAGCTATGTAGTGGTTGAATGTACTACAACTTCAATAATTTTTTCTAGGAAACTATAAGGATTTTACGAAAAATTTTTTAAGATATTGACTGTAGAAACTGAGTTTGAAATTTAAGCCAGTTTATTTAACACTGCAATTTATATAAAAAATAAGAGACATACAAATAATTTGAAAGTGAACTTTCAAAATAATAGTGATGTAAAGGAAAGCTTTATGTATCCTCATTTCCGGAAATTTTAAAAGTTCCCTTGGATTTATTCAGTATTTCATTTATGAACAGCACATAAAATATACTAAATTACAGATCTGTATTCAATTTAGAGAAATTATAAGTTTCATTGGTAAAAATTTGATATTTCCTGATAATAAACTTTAACATTATGATTGTTGTTATACAAAATTTAATTTAGAATCAAAATACGTATTTTCTTAATAAAGGGGGCCGTACCAAAACATGATCGTGGTATTTTATAGTTAAAAATCGAGGTTTTTATACGGACATAAAACTTTCAAATAAGAATAATTCTAAATTGAAAATATCAGCTACTGTGCTATTCTACATCTGTCGTTTAGTGTAGGTATATTAAAACATTTATTTTTCAGGCAGCACCAGATAGTCCTAGCAGAAAACTTTACGAATCTGGCGTAAGGTTTGGATGTTGGGGCATGTCAATGTATTCTCTATCATGTGCCTGTTACTCTACGAAAATAGAAAAATGTATTAATACATTTGGGTAAGAGGTATTTTTTGACAATAATAATAATAATTAAAATAATATAGATGTTCAATTTAAATTAATTATAACGTACTTGTATTCTTTGTCAAAATACGGTGTGTAATATTATTTTAGGTGCAAAAAGGTGTATGTTGGTGGTCTTTTAACATATACAGTGGGAATGTGTCTAATGGCAATTACGAAAAGCCAATTTGGAGTTATATTTTTCAGTGGGACGGCGGGAGTTATGTACTCAACACTATTTACCATGCCATATTTGATTATTGCGCATTATCACACAACTGGAACTGTAAGTAAGTTTCAAGATGTTTTCAGAAATTATACTAATGCTCATATAATATTTGGCGTATAAAATTTAAGTTGATACTTTTAGTTGATACCAATTCTACCAGGCAAAGACATTGAATAAAGTTTAAAAGTTCAATGAGCTACCACAAGAAATAATGAGTTTATAAAAAGATCTTATTCTTAACATAACCGCAATTTTACCTTAGTTTCAGTCTTAATCCTAATTCCTTAATTAAAAAGAAGTTCTTGGAAATTGTTTAAATCTTAGTTGTTTCTCTCAATGGTGTTCCAATTGTTTAAGTATTGGGTATTTAAAGAGTAGAACAGTAAAAGAACACTTCAAGGAACAGTTCCCTGGCAATTGGAAAGCAGTTTCGATTATAAAAATTTGGTTTTAACCTAATCGTAAGAATCCAACGACAGCCCTTTGCGCATGCTATTTGTTGTGGTATTAGCCTTAGTCCTAAGTTACAAGATAGAAACTTTCAAGATCAAGTGTTAAGACCTCCATACAACTATAGGATTAGGTTAGGATTTTTATAAGCGCTTCACTTAGGGCAAAGACTATGGCTAAGTTCTAAGTTATGACTAAGACCTTTTTTATAAACTCACCAAGAGTAAACTCTGCGTTTTTGTGCATTAAGTAGGATTTATTAGAAATGCTACCGTGTTTATAATTTGAATTTTATTTATATTTCCAGTTTTCTAAGGGAAATACCTATATAAAACAGTACCCACACGAGGTGATTAATTTTTTTAATGATAAATCTTCAGTAATTGAATATTGTATCTTTTTTATTATTAGTCCTTCTAAAGATTTACCAACTACATAACCTACCAATAAACCACATTGTGAAAATAAAATAATTATTTCGAATTTCAGTTTGATGTTTCTAAAGATGGAATACCTATAACATCGAATCAGATAAGAGGTTTGGGCACAGACGTTGCGATAATATCAAGTATGGTATTTTTGGCGCAGTTTCTTCTTTCAATATGCATGGGCTCCATTGTAAGTGCAGTGGGAACTACCACAGTAGTTGTAAGTGTCGCAAGCATTTTATCGTTACTGGGGGCTATATCTGCGTCTCAGATATTGTACTTAGATCTTTAGATGTGTTATTTTTATTTGTTGTAAATATCTGTTTATTTCTGTATCTTAATGTTTGTAACCATAATTAACAGATTAACAAATAATAAAGAATTAACCCAACTAATAAATGTAATTATTTCTGTATAAATGTTCCAGAAAATTGAGAACATACTTGTCCAGGGTGACACCAAGATTTAGGGAATTTTCGTTATTAGTACCAATCGCCATTATTCTATGGCTAGAAATTGGCCTCAATGATTTGGGATCGAGGGGGATTATCCCTCTTTATCCTGCCTCATCTCGTGTAGGCCTGGACAGCCTTCGTAGGTGGGCCCCATCCGTCGTCTACCCCGACCGCAAATGCGGCCGGTGTAGGCGCTTTGTGGGACCTCCTTTTGTCCTGGCTGGGCCCCGCCGGCTAGGACCCTTTCTTCTGGCGCTCTTCTTGCTTCGCCGGCTCGTCTGTGTAAACCCCGGGGGTAGTGTCATGTTTATGTGCGGTATGGTTGGGTAGGGTAGTGCGGCTATGCAGCCTGGGATGCGCTTTGCTAAGGTGGCCCTTAGGCTAGCGCGGGAGGGGAGGGTTAAGGAGGGTATGGGGGTGTGTATGTGTGTGTGTGTGTGTGTGTGTGTGTGTGTCGTTGTCTTCGTTTCTTGATCCTGGCTGTCTCTGAAACAGAAAAGGTTAGCGGGCAGGGGGGGGGGTCATTGGGGTGGTCACCCAGGGTCAAAAAGTTGGTGTCTAGGTCTTTTGTGTTTGTCAGTCACGTCGGGTACGTAGTCAACGGCTTGCCTGAGGAGGGGATTGTCATGTCTAGCGGCTACGTCAAATCGTTTCTCCGCGTTTTGTCTTATTGTCTGTGTAGCGTTTGTGTATTGTAAGCGTACCAGGGCGCGTCGGTGGCCGTGCGGAGGGCTATGTTTTCCACAGCCTGTAATGACTTTAAGTGGCTTTTTGCCGCGTGACCCTAGTACCAATCGTGCAATGTTGGGTTGCATAAACTCATCGGTCTCATAAATATTTATGGAGGCTCTGTATATCTTCTATTTTTGTTATTTCAGGTATGTACGTAACAAATAGAAATTCAGTATTAATAATTAATAATCTTTATACTTATCTATCCAAATCTTTATGAAATGCGATTGATTAAAAATAAACATATATTATTTAGTTAAATTAAATTAAACAGTGTTTAAACGTATTTAACAAAGTAATTTAAAAGTAAACTGCATTACTCCCTGGTCCAATTTTAGTTCATTATATTTCTTCGCCTGACACAATGAGGGAGCCAGCTGTCTTTTAAATGTCAGTAATATTTTGATGTTGGTATTCTTGTATTATATGTTTTGCGCCACAGACCACCTAGACTGGCTTATAGAGCGACTTTGGTGAAAACACTTTGGAGCCTGATTTGGAGCCCAGCGCTCAGTCGTGTCCTAGCATTTGACGTGTTCGCATCGCTGTGATTTCGATAATTAGACGTTTTATCATGGGCAAGTGCATTGTAAAACATTGTATAAATAGAAGTGATCGAGTTGGTGAGGAGAGGCGAAAAGTTTCCTTCTTTAGGGATGTAAAAAAAAGGAATATATAAAAGGTAAATACGTACGCCATTTTTCGGTTAACGTCACAAGTTTCCAGGGTTAGCTTTATGATTTTGTTGGCCCACATAGTGTAGTGAATAACGTACGTGATATTGTTATTATAAAATAATGAATGAATTACTGTAAAATATTTTTAGTAATTATTTACTTTATGTGAGTCTTAAATTTTTATGAAATTTTACCAATTCCCGTCATTTCGAGATAGCTGAAAATTGATTAAATATTTTTTTCAATTAAAAAAATCGCAAACAAAACTAATTTCAGATTCAGTATTCGTACAGTCAATTAATTTTTATTAAAGATCGTGGTTGTTTGACGTATCCATCTCGAGATGCCGTAGTAATATGCTAAGAAACAGAAAAATTAATAAAATTTTTAAATAATGAAAGCAGAACACCTAGGCTACAGAAAAATAAAATTGTTTATCATGTATTAAAAAACTTGCTGAATGTGAATATATTTGAAAATTTCCATGAACATCAATTTGATCATTTGCTTAACATTTAATAGAACTTGTAAGGGCTGAATGTGAAAAGTATATCGATGTACGAATAAATCATGAAGTCAAAAATTATTTAATTCGGTAAAATCTACGAAAAGACAAATATTAAATAAATTAATATTATTTAGAGGATAATAAATATATTTAAATTATTTTGTAGTTTTATTTAGTGACGCTAAAATATACTATTTTCTGAATTACAAACTTAAAATTGAATATTTGTCATAAGATGCAATATAATGTTTAATTTTAATAAAAATATTACTTAATCCGGATCTGCTTAAAGATGCGCACGATCACATTGCCTTCCACACTCCACTTCCCCGGATTTTGCATTCACTGGTACCCGTGCATTGGAATTAGATACGGCCAGTCTAGGTGGTCTGTGGTTTTGCGCTGTCGACAAGTAGTGGTTCAGTGTTCAGTGGTTAGTGGTTCATTCATTAAATTTTTTTAATAAACCTACGTTGTGTTGCATATATTTAACAATAAATTTTCTTAGATATTCTGTGTACTACATGTATTGTAATTTATAATTGTGCAAATGTAAATGTAGTGCAAGAACATGTTCTAACAGTGATCTCGTCGCAAGAACTACTGATTTATACTTCTCTGTTCTAAATATTGCAGATCAAATATAATCTACAAAATGCCAGTTTTAGAAGCAACAAATACAAATGATGATACGGGTCCGATAAATCCGTTAGTGGGCATAATTTACCCTCCACCGGAGGTGAGGAGTATCCTTTTGAGCGTAATAGAAGTAAAAATGTTAATTTTTTCCTGCACCAATTCCTCAATGAAATTACTGCAAAATATGTTTTATCATCCACAATATTCAGGAAGGTCAATAAATAAACCAAAATATTGTACAAAGTGTAAAAAATAAATGACCTAAGTGACCCTATACAGGAGATACATTTACTCGTATTTAGTGCCATGTACTTACATCGTATGTTTCCTATCCTAGCAAAATCAACCGTAAATACTTCATGGATGCAATTATACACATCCTCTTTTATTTCATGGATACTGTTGCTCATGTTTTCATCGCACACATTTTAGGTCTTGACATGGTATATCATCTAAAAAGTGACACATTTATCGTTCATATAATTGTATTTTGTAGTGAAGTCGATACAAAATTCATTTAATGAAAGTTAAAAGTAAAATATATTTTCCTGATGAGAAAATTTAGATATTGTTGACAAGACTGCTAGCTTTGTTGCAAGAAATGGACCTGAATTTGAGGCTCGTATTAGGCAAAATGAACTGGGCAATCCAAAATTTAATTTTCTTAATACTGGTGATCCCTATCATTCGTACTATCAACATAAAGTTAAAGATTTTAGAGAAGGAAAAGGTAAGTGATTTGTAGCAAGCACATTCTGTTAGAGTTAGTATAAGTATGCAACAATTTTTAATTAATACGATTCCTAGCTGTATCAAATTTAGTTAACTGCAAATTTTGAACTCACCTTCAAACTAGGAGCAGATTAATCTCTTTATGGAAAAGTAAAAAAATGCAAAAAATTGTTGAGATGTAATTGTAGTTATTTTTTGTAAATACCACTTTACTTTAAAAAAGATATTCTTGTTGCATGTCGTTAGTGTACTATTCCAGAGAAAAACGGGTAAAATTTTTTTCCTGCAGTCATCAGTTGCAGTTTACAGTTTTAAATGACAGTTTTGATACAGTATGAATGTAGTATATAATTTATATTTCCATTTATTATTTATTTCTTTTAAAATAAAATGATGATACCTAGCCAAATTTGAATATTTGGTCTGTTGTGACTTTGAGTATCTTGATAATAAAATAACGAGAGCGATTTGTAAACAAAAAAACTGATATAATTTAGATTTTTACGTTTTTTGTCAATATTTTATATTATTCATATAACAATATTAATGTTTTAGGTCAAGAACCTTCTACAGGTCTCAATCAAGCTATATCAAAATTATCAGTTACTCCAGCAGCTCAACAGAAGCAACAAGAAATTTTGAAACAAGTGGAGCAACCTTTTGTGCCCAAAGAGCCTCCACCTGAGTTCGAATTCATTGCGGACCCACCATCAATTTCTGCACTTGATCTGTATGGATGTTAAAATTATTTGTGTTGTAAAATAACTATACATTTAATTACATTTTAGGGATATTGTGAAATTAACGGCACAGTTTGTCGCTAGAAATGGTAGAGCATTTTTAACTCAGTTAATGAATCGTGAGCAACGTAATTTCCAGTTTGACTTTTTAAGACCCCAGCATTCCTTGTTTCAGTACTTCACCAAACTTTTAGAGCAGTATACAAAGGTAAGTTTTTCTCGTTTCGTACATGGATTCGCATATGAGGTGTCTATCCTGTATATTTCTTCTGTAGTACGGTTTTTTTTCTTGTATTAACTAAAGTTATTTCTATCTATTTTACATTATTTTTAATTTTACTCTTACATAGTTTTCTATTTGCGTTATGAAACAATGTAAATATTAGTCCAATATACAAAAGATTATTAGAAAGTAACCCATCACCAAAGGTCAATACATTCAATATTTTCTGACCTATTTTTTTTACATTTGGTGATTCACAGAGGATATTGATGCTGTACTGATATTCAGTCATGATTCAATTTTGATTAAATTATTTTGAAAATGGATTTTTACAGCATTTTGATAACATCCTGTGGAGTACTCCAACATTATTAGCCAAACAGCTAAGCAATAATCAGCCTGAGATGTTCTTAAAATACCATTTTTTTTATCCAACTTATCTGTATTATTGAGGAAGAAACGCATTCTTATATCTGTGCAAGATTTTATTGACTGAAAAATATTGTACGTACAGAACTAAGTTATCTTAAACTTGCACAAAAAGTAAAACTGAAGATTGAAATAACAAGACCTAATTTTCAGTGTTGATTTCACTTGATCAGATAACTGCTTGACATCGACGAACCATACTTAAAATTAGACTACAAGTTAGATCTTGGTCAATGTTTTCCCAGAGGTCCTGTAACCTTTGTCCAAGCTGTTGTTTGGACAAAAATAAACTCTGCTCTTAATATAACGAATGTGTACTATAGGAATCAGGTCAGGGTTTCTGGCTGGCCATTGCAATGTAAGAATGTTAATGTTGGTGAGATATAATTCCACAATTTGTGCAATATGTGGTATAGCATTATCGTCCATGAAAATGTGCAAAAGACATTACATGAGGTTCTAAAAATGTTTGTATTGTAAGAATCTGATGTGCTCTCGCATGGTATCATCCCCAACTCAATACGAGCCTCCATATAAAAGAGCCGCTTCTAAACAGAACATTTGGAACCTGACCTTCAGTACATGCGCATATATCTATCACTGCTATATAAACAAAATCCATATTCATCTCGTCACTGAACATAAGTTAGCCAAATCAACATCTAACCAGTAATGTTTTTCAGCAATTGTTAATCTAGGTCTGTAATACTCTGCATATAATTGTGGGCCTATTGCTTGCTATTTTGAATCTTGCAATGTATGCATAGAAAACTAAAATTTTTACGTACAATATATAAAAAGAGGACAAATCAGGCTACATTGTGATTATGTGGATTTGCCGATGATGTTACTATGCATCGCAAGGTTTATCAAAATTCTGTTAACAATTTGTTTTCTAAATAATGCCCGGTATTAATCAAATTGCATCATAAGTGAAAATGCAAAAGTATAGCATCAAAATTTCCTGCAAATCTAGTGATAAAAGAAAGATAATCGTAATCGGATAAATGGGTCAGAAAATATTAAATATAAAACTGGTGAAGCATTATTTTCTTCTCCCGATTTATTACATTCATTTTAAAGGTCCTTATTCCACCTAAAAGCATGCAACAACGTTTGCGAGACGAGGCAAAGAGTGCCATATCTGTCCTCGAACAAGTGAAATATCGAGCAGAGTGGCAGAAGTATCAAGAAGCTCAAAAAGCGAAGGAAGAAGAGATTTTAGAGAGGGAAAGAGGTACCGATTTCAGAATTTGTAAAGATATTTATGTATTATGTGTATGTATTTTGTTTGCAGTTGCTTACGCCCAAATCGATTGGCATGATTTCGTAGTAGTAGAAACGGTAGATTATCAACCGTTTGAAATTGGCAATTTTCCGCCACCAACAACACCCGAAGAAGTCGGCGCTAGGATTCTTATCCAAGAACGAATCGAAGAAGGAGAAGACATCGAGATGCAGTTAGAAAGCGATGATGAGGAAACTAATGCAGCTGTAAGTATTTTTAATAACTTAATGATTAAAATTTATTGTCGAATAAAATTTTTAGGATGAAGGTTTAAGTACAATGCAGGATAAAACAAATAATCGTAAAGGCCGTGACGATAATCGCATCCAAGATATGGAAGAAGAGAGCTCTGAAGAAGAAAACGATATTTTAGAAAAAACACCCTTGACGTCTAACATACAGCCACCTCTGCCTCCTATCCCCGATAAAGTGCTCGTTAAAAAATATGATCCTAAGCAAGGTTAAATATATGTATATATTTATAAGTGGTCACAAATAAATAAATTTTTTTTTTGCAGCTGTTAAAGTCACCAGGCCTACTGTAGGTGACGATTATCTCGTTTCACCAATCACTGGTGAGAAGATCCCCGCAAGTAAGGTTCAGGAGCACATGCGGATCGGATTACTTGATCCGAGATGGGTCGAACAAAGAGATAAGCAAGTCATGGACAAAATGAACCAAGAGACTGTGTATGCCGCGGGTTCAGCGATCGACGCCTCCTTGAAGTTACTCGCCGAAAGACGTACGGATATATTCGGTGTCGGCGATGAAGAAACGGCTATCGGTAAGAAGATAGGCGAAGAAGATGTGAGAAAAGATGAGAAAGTTACTTGGGACGGCCATACCAGCAGTGTCGAGGCTGCTACTAGAGCGGCACGTGCAAATATTACATTGGAAGAACAAATCCATCAAATTCATAAGGTTAGCATTATTGACACACAAATACTATTGGAATCTATTAAATATAGGAAATGTAAGTTTGGTTAAATTGAGGAAAAATTGCAAATTTCGCTCTTATCGATGATCCAAAACAAAGTTCGTGTATCTCGTGATTTTGGAGATTTAAAATAAACTAGAAAGGTAGGCGACTTGACCTTTCTATCAAGCCTTCGGCCCTCAAATGCGACCCGCCTGCATTTCGAACCCCGGACCTTCGGCTTCGCAGTCACGAGTTTACAAAATGAACTACATCGATGTAACGCTAGGTGAAGCCTGTATGGGCTATTTGAAACATTGCGTCTCCGCGAATGTAAACAGAAAATTGAAAATGTTCAATCAAGTTTTATCACCAAAGTAGCATCTCTGAAAGATTGAAACTGGTGCCTAACGGCAAAATAACAACTCACCGTGGCTTGATCGACCGGGAAAATGCGTCAAATGACAAAATTTATTTTGATATCTTCACTGACCGTCTCCCTCTCCGTCTAAATATCGGATATACTTTGGGTATCTCTCGAACATCGAAAAGTCATTTTTCGGCGACGGCTCTGTTTAAAGTGGAAAAAATTTCACTTAGAAGACACGACACATCACTTTCAGAATACGACGTTGGAATAAAGGAAGGTCCGAGGGGCCTTCTGGTGATTTGGGGGGTGGGACATTAGTCACCCTCCAAGTGCTTTTCGTTAATACTAAAGCACTGGTTCAAGCATTTTTTCCACTGTATGAAACACCTTTTGTACTCCTCTTTTCCGATGCCTTGCGGTGCCGCCTTCGATTTTCTCTTCACCTTTAGAATGTGTGCAAAACGTTTCCCTTTCGGCTCCCTTTTCATTCAGGGAAACAAAAAAAAAATCACAAGGTGCCAGATCAGGTGAGTAGGGTGGGTGAGGAGGTGGCATCTTGCGATTTACAACAAAAAAAAACACGCACAGGGATGGCTGTGTGAGCTGGAACATTAGCCAACAGGATTTTGTTTAAAATAAAAATAGTAACTGCCTTCTTAGAGAAAAAAGAAACCATCACAATTTTAAGGTTATATTAAATTTATGATAGCGATCAAAAGTATTCATAGGGGAAAAGGGATTACCAATCCTGATCATATAATCTGACACGATCCGGAAACAAGAAAACAACTATGAACATGATTTTGGGATCATAACATGTTTAGATCCGAAAACGGCATCCGAAAGAAAGTAGCTAATGTCATGGTAGAAGAACCAGTCCGCATTCTGCCACAAATCGGGCTATTTCAACCGAACGTGCAACCGCCTAACAACACTCAGGTACTGCTCAGGAATTTACTCTGATTGAACAATGCCATAAACTTCAGAAAAACATAACATTGTCTTCACGACCGATTTGACTTGCCGAACCTTTTTCAGGCGGGAGGAGTTCATGGCCTGCCACTGCTTTGACTGTTGCTTTGTCTCACAATCGTACCCATAACACCACGATTCTTCCCCGGTGATGATTTCATCAAAAAAGTTTTTATTTAATGTGTTTACTTGTAATATTTACAAAAAAATATATATGTAAATTAATTTATATAACTTTAGGTCAAAGGTTTACTACCGGATGAGGAGAAAGAAAAGATTGGTCCTAAAAATGTTGGAGCGAAGGGAAGTAAAATTAATATTCAGAACATTATTACTTCAAAACCTCAAAATAATCCACAAGTGAGTATATATCAATTTTTATTTAATTTTTCCTAGTCATCTTAATTTTTTTTTAAAGGACTAGATATTTGTATTCTTAAAATTTTGAAAGATCCAATTGCTGTTCAATGTTCAACAATTTTGAAACTAACATGTTATATTTAAAAAAATTTAATAATGTATATTAAAAATACAAAAATTAAAATTGTGGGGATCAGAAAACATTTAAAAATTATGGGATCTACTTGAACGTAGATGCAATGGTTTGTCATTGTTCATTGTAAACGAATCATTAATTTTGGTGACTCTAAAATTTAGGGATTTTTAGTTGACAGTACCACTCCTGCAATGTTGGTTGTCTAAGCTCACGCGGTCATGTAGCTTGTAAACATTTATGAAGGCTCTGTAGTTCAATGTACACCATATGTTGGGCCACTCTGTGTTTCATATTTAAAAATATGTGTTTTTGATCCCTGCAACCATTCATTTTTATATTACTAGTAATAGCATCTATTAATTTTTGTCACATTTCGACCATTCGCTATAATTTAATTAAAAAAAAAACGCTTATAGCAAAACAAAACTTCAGTGTCTGTAATGCAAACTCAGGGAGGACCAACTATAGCTTTGCAAGTTCCACCTCAGCCTATGATGGCACCACAGCCTCCTATCATGATGATGCCAGCTCCTCCAATGCCTCCTATGAGACCACCCCCGCTAATGAGTAAGTAATATTTACTTTTTCTTTTTGCATTCCGATATATTAATTGCTGCAGGTGGTTTTCTCTCCTACACCGATCTCGAAAAAGGGGCATTTTGCATACACTAAGGCTTTCCTCGTGAGCCGTGCAGCGGCAAGACCTTCCTTAATCCGTTTAGTATATTTTGAAGGCGATTTCTTAACGTCTTGCGAATGAAATTTCACTTTTCTGGGGGTTCCGCTGTCAAATAACACAAATTTTCGCTGTGGGAGAGAGACAGAACCCGACGGGAACTCCCACCGATGGACGTTTTGAGGGTCAATTTCAAATGCTACATGCTTTTTTCCAAGGATCCATCGAGGGTTTACACAACTTCTACGCGCGAGAACGCCGAAATTTGCTTTTTAAAAAGGTCTGCACCTTGCATCTCTCTCGCGGAACCCCAACATTTTCGTAAAGCCCGGATTATTTCGCCCAAAACGCAATTTTCGCGGCGTCATATTTTTCTTTATGGATACTGCCGGCATCTGCACTTTGTTCCGAGAGGGAGACAAAAATTTTCTTTTTGCATACGAGCAGCTCCCGCAACTCGGCGACGTCCCCTTTCCGCTACCGGGACACTTTTCTGATGCCACGTCGCAACATTCTCTCTCTTCTATATCGCTCTCAACTTTTATTAGGTCAAATGTGACAAAATATAAGACAACATTAAGAATATTTTGATACAAACTGTCACCGCGGTAGAAACGTCAGAATTGTCAAATTCTCCACTGCGCCAGGCAATTATTTGATGTTTTATACCGTTCCGAGTCCTTAGCAGATGATTTTACGGCAGAAAAATGAAATTTTTAACTTTGCGAAAATGTTTGTTTACTTCGGCTATGAACAGGAATGCAAATACTGATACGGACAAACTGTCTAGAGGCAATAATGGCTCAGTGCTAAAAGTGGCGAATTGCAACTTAGAGGTCGACGGTTTGCATCTCGCTCAGGATCTCTATTATTTTTTTTACTTATTGCCGTATTTTACCTTCATTATGGAGTTTTCTTTTAAAATCTTTCTATAAAAAGAAAATATAATTTTTCCATTAGGTTTTTATACACAGGGTGTCTAAAAAATAAAAATATTACGTTGAACTTCGAACAGTCCATGAAGTTACGATGTTGATGACTTTTATATACACGATGTTCTAAAAAATGTTACAATTACTGCATCAGCGGAGCTTGCCGACCTTTCTAGTTATTAATTAACACGCGATACAAGTATAAAATTAGTAGTAATATTCAGTTACAAAGCAGCATTTTCAATACTAAATTTATTATAATAGAGAAATAGTCAATTTGAAGGAAATGTATGCCGCTAATGTCTTAAATTAAGCAACAAATACATGGAGGCCTCAGAGGTACGTAGCACTTAATGCCCGGAAAACATAATTATACACATTGTGCCCTTTTATTCCGACAGAGAGAAATAAACTTAACTAATGACATTGTGGGAAACACCTACTCTCGGCATTATATGGCTTGACTGGCATTGAATTATGCTTCCAATATCTATTAAATATCAATCATTCATCAAGAGAGTCAAGTTATTAGTTCTCATCAGTATCAAATTGTCCCCATTTATCCCCAAATTACCCCTCTTTTGTCCCCATTTGCTCCTTTTCACCCTCAAACTGTCTCTCATTTGTCCTCTTTTCTTCATACAGTGTAGGAAAGTACCGATGGTCTATCAGAAGTTATGTGAGAGCGATAAAGTAAGCCATAGAAATCCAGTGATAGACTAGGATGGCTATAATGAAGGCGTCTAATAGTCAACGCCCATTTCGCCCTTCCACAAATAAAAAGTGGATCTTATTTGTGGAAGGGCGAAACGGGCAGTGACTATGAGAGGCCTTCATCATAGCCATCCTTCTCTATCGCATGGATTTCTATGGCTTACTTTATCGCTCTCACGTAACTTCAGATAGACCATCGGTACTTTCCTACCCTGTATATTAACCACATTTAATCACCTTTTATCGTCACGAATAGGGTTTGATCAGTGAAGTTTTTAATTTTCAAATCTAGTGGCAGCGCCTCCTCCGATGGCCAGTTTTGTGACTCCAATGCCCCCACAAATGGGACAGCCACTAAACATGCCGGTAAAACACCCCTCAGAAGGAGCGTCTGAAGATGAACCGAGCAACAAGAAAATGAGAAATGAAGATTCACTTGTACCGGAAGAAGTATTTTTGACTCGTAATCCGGTAAACTTAACCTAATACTATTGTTACAAATATAGATGAAATATACCACAAAAAAAAAGAAGTTCACCACTCGTAAAAGTTTTAGGTGAGCTTAGATTGTCAACATCCAGGTGGCATTACAGGCGATTTAATAACATGTGACACTAGCCGAGGCAAGTTTTTGTTGGAGTTGCTCTGCTCTTTTTGACTCGAATATTATATCGTCCATCTGTTGAACGTTGAGAACGATGGGTAGCGCAGATTTATTCAAGGCGAGAGTTGATGTCAATCGTTGGCCAGAGTGGAACTTAACGGGATGTGGGTTGGATATAGACTGTGTGGTAAAGGCCCCTTAGTAGCCTTTTTCTAACTTCACCGACCTTAATGCCTCCTGGATGTCACAACCAGACTCACCTAAGAATATGAGAAAAAGCGAGTGTTAGGAAAATTTCCTTGTTTTATACAGGACCTAAGGCCGTATCATAATTTAAAGAGATCGTTCTTTGAATAATTTTAAACCTTCAACGAAGAGTCTAGACTCGAGTCACTGATTTTTCAGATACAAGGTGTTGAATTTTAAGAGAATGAATATATTTATTGGGATGTTGAATAAGTTCTTACTGTTTTTCGTGAAAATTAATGCTTTGTTTAAAAAAATTAGTAAAAAAACATGTCACTGTCACATGTGATTGTCTGTCGCCAGTCACTACTTTTTTCCATCTTTCTGGCAGTATTTTAATTCCACGTCGGAAAAACGACACATCTTTTGAGGCACTCCAAGAGTTGATTCATTTTTTGGCATCTTCATAAGAAATGGAAAACAAGTGATAATCGGAAGGATCAATATCTGGTTATTATCTGATTTAAACATTTCCAAGTAGGTTTTCACTTCACAAAGTCACTTTGTCATGTATACTAGCCGTTTTCCTTCAATACTCTGCTCAAATGCATCAATTGTAGGCAATGGATATTCAGCTTTGTCGATGATGTTGATACATGACCGATACGATGCAAAAAACCTTTCCTTTTCTGCCATTGAAGCAGCTATTAGACGTACTCTTGGCAAGAACTTGTACAGCATCCAATGTCCTTGTTTTTGAATCATTCTTAATGCTTTCAACCGGTTCAAAACTGTTGTGTGATCAACTCCTAATGATTCTGCAAGTTCAGCTAGCGTCTGCCATGAGTCTTCATGAAGCAATGCCTCCAATTATTCGTCTTCAAACTGTTTCAGTGCGCCAAAGTGTTCTTTATCTTCAACATCAAAATCGTTATTTTCGAAGCGTCTAAACCAATCTTTGCATGTTATTTGCGACAGACCATGGCCGCTGTAAGTGTCAATATGAATCCTGTATGCTTCCCTGCAGATTTCTTTTGAATAAAATAGCGCATTAACATTCACTACAAATACTCTTTCTTCAGCACAAAATTCGACATATTTAATGAAAAAAAAAAAGTAGTTTACACACTTCGGTGAGATGACATGCACTGAATTTCAAGCTTACTGACACCCGTTGCACACATGCCGGAACCGGTTAACCGGATCTGGCTACTCGGCAGCCAGGTGTACAGTCTTATGGCAGCTTTCACATGTGACGGAAGGAGCTATCCAGTGAACCGGCTGCCGGGTTGTAGCTGGTCGCCACCACTGCCTGTTTTTTTATTGTGACGAAGTCACCGTTTGCAGTAGCCAAGCCACATAATTGCAATGCATCTACGATCCCTCTCTTGACGTGATAAAAATGCAACTGACTGATATCGGTCAAACCAGTTTGAAAATTAAATGACGTGTAAAAGAAATAGCCTGTCCGGCAAGTGTGAAACGACGCTTATAATACTTCTTGTACGTTACCATCTTAAACTACAGTTCTGGTAACGCCATCTGTTGGAAAACAATGAGCACTTATTCAACGTACCTACATTTAGTTACTCCTGACAAAATTTACAATACATATATATTTTATAGAATCCAGTGCCAATCAAAGTGACTGTACCGGTTATGCCAGAAAAATCGGAATGGAAATTGACCGGTCAACTATTAAGTTTCACGTTGCCTTTGGCTGAAACCGTTGGAAATCTGAAAATGAAATTGCAAGAAGAAACTAACATGCCTCCGGCAAAGCAGAAGCTATTTTTTGATGTAAGTATGTCATTTATTAGGACTGTGAATTAATTTTGAGGGATTTTTTTGTAAGTGCAACAATGCTTTTTCCCATCGTTTTGGCAGCGTACGATTCCGTGTCGAAAGAACAACAAATTTTTTGATGTTATCCACCAATGAATTCAATTTTTCTTATCTTCATAAGATTGGAAACGTTGCTTAGCCAAGATGTGTTCCATGGATCGGAATAAGTAGTAATCCGATGGAGCAATATCTGGTGAATATGGCGGGTGGGGTAAAACAACTCATTTCAGTGTTTCTAAGTATTTTTTGACTTTGTGAGCAATGTTCCCTCTAATTTTTTTACTGACTGCATGGTACAAAAGTATTTGGAAGCAAAAATGTTCAAAACGTATGTAAAAGTGTGCAAGTGGGGGGGTCCTGCGCCTGTGTTTGAAGTCAGAAGAATTTTTTTTTAATAAATACTCTTGAAAATTACATTTTAAAGCATTTTAATAACATACAAACAAGAAAGGATTTTTCCATCGTTAATTTTTTTATAAAGTGAAATTTAAAACAAGCTCATTGTGCGCAGAATACAAAAATGGCTGCTCAACTTTAGAAAAACTAGTGCACCCGCGCACCCCCGTAGCTTAGAGGGAACTTTGTTCATGAGCAACATGTGGTCGAGCGTTCTTTTGTTGAAAAAATACTTTATCGCGACTTTCCACGAATCGCAGACCAAATATAGAGAATGAGCTTTCTACGCTTAGGATTATCCATTGTGTATCCATTTTTCATCGCCATTGACGATACGATGCAAAAATCCTTTTCTTTATTTTGCCATCGAAACAATTGTTTACACGTGAAAAATTTCCTTTCAACATCTCTCGGCTTCAATTTGTATAGCACTCAATTTCCTTGCTTTTGAGTCATACCGAGTGCATTTATATGTTTGAAAACTGTTGTGTGATCAGCATTCAACGATTCAGCAAGTTCATCTTGTATTTGACAAGAGTCTTGATCAAGTAATGCTTCTATTTGCTCATCTTCGAAGTTTTTCTATTGACCAGTGCGTTCTTTGCCAACTGAATCAAAATCACTACTTCTAAAACGTCGAAACCAATAGTCGCACGCTTTTAAAGATGGAGTATGTTCACCGCAAGTTTTCAACAGCACTCGATGACTTTCCGCAACAATGAATTAAGCAAGAAAAGTAAAATTTCCTGCAAATGCTGTTTTGTTGGTTTCGTAAATCCACATCTTCGGAGCTGAGAAAACATATGTTGTTTATACTTCAGCAAAATGACATAATAAAAATTAAAAAGTAAAGCCTAATGACAGAGCTTTGACATGAATATAGTTACAGAAGTGTCCGATGTGATATGTTAATTATTTTTACTTATTGGTTTAAATATAAATTGAAAAATTAGAATATTCCCAATGTCGCCCTTTTTGAAGCTCGTCGGCACTCTTGAGTGCCGCATCCTAGCTACGTGTGTGGAAACCATGGAAACGAACTCGACCGTTCAGATTTGTTGTTCTGTGTTGGGGATATTCCAACATGGTATAGCATAAATTACGCCATCTATTGTAAATCCCTCAAAATTAATTCAGTCGTAGTAGTTTATATATAAAGATATTGAATTTATTATATATTTATTTTTAGGGCATGTTCTTTAAGGATTCAAACACATTGGCTTACTACAATATTACTCCAGGCACCATGATACAATTGCAAATTAAGGAAAGAGGTGGAAGAAAGAAATAAATTTCGTTAATCCATTCACGTAGTGTGAACTAATAACACAATATAAAAGGAAGTCGATATATAAATCGTTTTTAATGTTTATTGCAGAAATTTAAATAAAGTGTATGTGTAAAAAATATTTATTTTTATAATTTTCAGGTCTAAAGTTACATTATTTTAAATATATGCGAAGCAGCACAGTTTTTCGTGACGAATACAATTTTTTTAAATATACAGGATGTAGTTAAAAAGTTATTAACAATAAATCCAATTTTTCTATTCTTTATTATCCGAAGAGTTACAAATGTTTCACACGATTTTTGTACTATTGGTTTTAAGAAGGCTATAGCAAATGAGCAACCAGCAATACATTTTTATAGATTTTATTACACTGTCTAAATATGAATTAATGCACAAATAACAGATTTTCCTCCATTCTAATGCAGATTTTCTATAAAATGGTCTTAGTTTGAACCTCAAATTACTTATTGGTGTAAAGAAATTTATAATTTACAATGCCACTTGTTCAAAAGCGACAAATTTCAAATTTCTTTACAACCAAGAGATCATGCCAGAAAATTGGAATTTTGTGAATAGATCAACGCTAATAGTCAACTAGTTCCAATGATGCTTTTTACTGACGAAGCTGATACATAATTTGCATGGATCATCATTTTTAGATGAGTTTTTAACGGAAACGGCTGCTCCTAGAAACTTCAATAAGGTGTACATTTCTTAAATACAAAACATGGGTGAAAATGTTTTTCTATTCCAAAATGACATACACCATGGCACAAAAAGTTGAAGGGATTTAAAAGGATCCTAATGGTCGCTTGTGGCGCCCTCTGGGAGATACAACCAATCGTCCATAAAATTTGAATTTCCCGTCCCAAGAAACCTCGGCATACAAAATTTCATGAATTTAACTCAAAAGTAGTTATTAAAGAAAATGTAATAAATATTTTTTAATTTGACATCCTGTATATCCTAAACGAAGCGTTTCCCGACCTAAGTTCATAGGAAATTTTTTGCTTAAAATTGAACGTAGAATAACATACTGATGTATGTACATCTCCTCCTGAAAACCCTGTATAAAATTAATAAAGTTTAAAAAAATAAAGTTCCGTTATTTTCTGAGTATACAGGGTATCCCGAAATTCATGCAACACAATTTGGTCACAGATTCTTAAGACAAATTTAGGGGACTCGTATTTTTTATTTTTGCCATGTGGCCCCCTCTTTCGGAATTACAGCCCCCTGAAGTCCACCCCTAAGAATATTTTTTTTTATATATTTCAGAACCCTGTTATACGAGAATCACTAAATTTGGTACACAGGGGTTTTATGACATGTGGAATCTGATGGTGCTACGTTTTTTGGCGGGGAACCCCCTTAAGACTATTTTTCGTGAGCCCCCTTGTCTTTGGAGCCAAAAAATTTGGTCACATTTAAATTTCTTAAAAATTGTCAGTCCACTAGAATGCCATTAAATTTATTAACTTTTTGTCTCTTTATACTTTTTTCGTAAAACGCAATGTTTTCGAGAAAAATCTGAAAATGTGATCGAATGCATATCGTGATCCGGCATTTTCCTCAAAAACATTGCATTTTACGAAACAAATATTAAGAGACAAAAAAGTTTCTAAATTCAATGGCTTTCTAGCTAATAATTTTTAAAAAAATCAAATTTGCGACCAAATTTTTCTGGTTCCAAAGACACGGGGGCCAACGAAAAAGTGTCTAAAGGTGGTTTCTCGCCAAAAAGCGTAACACTGTGGGATTCCACGTCACAAAAACCCTGTGTATCAAATTTAGTGATTCTCGTGCATGGTTTTTGAGATATAAAAGACTTCTTAGAGGCAGATTTCAGGGGGCTGTAACTCCGAAAGAGGGGGCCAGTTGGCAAAAACAAAAAATACAGGCTTCTTAAATTTGTCTTAAGAATCTATAACGAAATTTTGTTGATTTTTTTTTTCTTTGGGGTATCATAAGAAACATAGTGTACAAAAACAATAATTTTAAAGAATTAAAAAAACAAAATTAGATTAGAATTGTTCCTTTGAACTTTATTTAACATCAATGAATGTACACAAGTAATATATTACCCTTAAATAAGTCTAAAACCATTATTTATAAGATGTTGCCACAAAGAAAGACTAAGGTGATTCCAGAAAAGATCGCAATGTTAGTAAGTCCAACATAGAAAAAAATGTTCTGTGTTAGTCGCAATTTCAGAGAAAAAGAGTGATACAAATTACATTTTATCAAAGCTTTTTTAAGGAGCAGGAAACAATGGTATGGTGGAAAAAATCAACAGTTCATTTTTGATAGTTTTCAATTAATACCTTACAATTTTTGAGAAACATGGAAAGCTAATTTGAATGGTAAACGAATGACAAAAATACATTCCATATAAAAAAAAAATACAACTTTTATCAATCTCAAAAATTAATGAGTATTTTTTTTCTACCCCAATCTACTTAAATGTTTTGTTTTTAAATTCAACTCTTAATAACTGGGTTACAGGTTTGCACCATTTTTTGTTTAATTTAAATAATCAATATATAACAATATTTTCTATCTCGCATAGTTTTCAAAATAACTTCATATGCTATCGCATTTGGTCCACTCTATACAATCTCTTAGGATATCCATCTCGAATGTGGGAGGTTTTCTTCTACGTATTACATTTCAAAAATTAAAGAAATTAAAATAACATTTTTTATTTAAATATATAACAAATTAAGTGGTAAATAAATGCCATTAGTCATTTTCTAAAAATAAATTTGACCAATCACATTCACTGTTTTTCTCCACAGGACTAATTTTGTTTTTGAAATATTTTCCATCGTCTTCACAGTCGTAGAGAATAGCTTCGTTAGTTTCCTGAAAACTTTCTAGTGATTTTAAATTTCGATATACTTCTTCTCTATCAAAAAAATCTAAATCTAAAACTACATTTTTATAAAATTGCATTGGCTCATACAATTGTGGTCGTATATCGAAATAATCCCTTATAAATTCTAAAACATCACTAAATGATTTTAAATTATTAAAAATACGTTTCTCCTTCCTTGGCAAAACTTTTTCCAACATAAAAACTAAATGGTGATGAAAGCATTGGAATGTCAAATTGTAAGGTTTTTCTTCGACCACACATTTTGGATCTTTTAATTCATTTTCGTACCTTGCTAGATTTAAAGTACTATTGTAGCAGATATTTAACCAGTTTTGTATACAACTCACAGAAGTTGTAGTTGAACCACTGAACAACATTGGATTTGTTAGTAAACCATTAGCTACCATAAAACCATCACAATTTGTTTCGGTTTGTAGTAAAACACAGTCTTCCAACGACGTCAATCCACCGTTTGCTATTATTGGAATGTTACAATTTTCTTTAATTAACTTTAAAATGTTTTTATTTATTTCTCCTGTAAATTGGTTTGACGTTCTAGCATGTACACTAAGGAAACTAACACCACATAACTCCAACTGTTTGCAAAAATTAATCGTTTCATCAACATCATTTAAAATTCTCATTTTAACACTTACAGTGAATGGTTTCGATATCCTATTACGGCATTGCCTAACTATATCATAAACAAGCTCAGGTTTTTTTAACATAGCACAACCTAATTCTAATTCTTTTGCCCATTTTTGAGGGCAACCACAATTTAAATCCACTCCATTACAATATGGTGAAGAAAGGTGTGCTGCACCTACAAATTCATACACAGAATTTGCAGCAAACTGAGTTATTAATGGAGTATCTAGTAAATTTGTAGTCAACTCGTTTCTTCTTGCCTTTTCACTTAGACAAAAAGAATCCGCTAATATCATAGGTGTAAAAGTTAAATCACAGTCGTATAATTTAACCAAGTTTCTAAACTGCAATTTGCTATATCGAACCATTGGAGCACATACTTTAACCATTTTTTGTTTTTCAAATAAATCCAAAACATTCATATTCTTGTTTTCTTGCAACATTTTGCTGTACTTTAAACTTTATACGTGAACCCATAAAATAGGTATAACACTACCGAAAACTGTAAATCATTTTTGAATAATATAATGTAAGGTAAATAAAAATATAATTTTAAAGATGTCTTTTATTTAATGGTTATGTTATTTGGTTATTTTTGGTTATTAAGAGATTAGAAAAAGCTATCTATGCCACAGATATACTAAAATGGATTTAACTTAAATACTGACTGGAGTGACTGAGATCACTAGCTGCTTTCGTGTACGGTTTGATGTACTCTAAACAGTCGAAACTGTTGCAGAAGAGCAGAACAATTCTCATACAGGGGCGGAACGTGAGAGCGATAAAGAAAATCATAGAAATCCGTGCGATAGAGAAAGACAGCTATAATGAAGGCGTCTAATAGTCACCGCCCATTTCGCCTTTCCACAAATAAGATCCACTTCTTATTTGTCCACAGGAGTGTGACATATGCTGTTTTCTTTTACTCATGATTTCGGAATCATAACGCGTTACGATCCGAAATCTAGCAATCTGATTGGTTTTCATCGGATTGTAACACGTTATGATTCCGAAATCATGAGTAAAAGAAAAGGGCTATAATATACCCTCCTATACCTACCTCTCTCTCTCTCTAAACCTCCGCTACACTCTCGGCCACTGAAACGCTGCCTCCAGTAGTATATGCTCGAAGACTTAAACACTAGCCGATTTTTTGGTGTTTAATACTCGGGCTTACCCAGCCAATAATCTTAATAATTTATATGTCGCAACGAAAAGTCTTATTTATTTTGTCACTGAACGATCACAGCTAACATGGAGACTACAACTAACTTAGCGCTACTTGTTAGCACATAGTGCTTTCGATTAACGCTAAGTAAATGTTGCTTATGACGCGCGCCATTATTCCATGGCTAGAAATTGGCCTCAATGATTTGGGATAGAGGGGGATTATCCCTCTTTATCCTGTCTCATCTCGTGTAGGCCTGGACAGCCTTCGTAGGTAGGCCCCATCCGTCGTCTACCCCGACCTCCTTTTGTCCTGGCTGGGCCTCGCCGGCTAGGGCCCTTTCTTCTGGCGCTCTTCTTGGCTTATGACGTTGAACGCATCCAATATTTTGCAATTTAAATTAATGACAAGAGTAACAAAACAAACAAACAATGCTACATCTACATACATGCAAATTTCGCTATTGAACTTTATTTGTAGAAAACGATGAAAAACTGGCTTACACTTTTCGTTATTTTCAGGTATGTACAGCACACGATTTTTCCTCGAATTTTCATCGATGTGATTTTGAAAATATTGCCAATGACCAAAAAGCATTATATTCATGAGACTATAGAGTGTAGACAAGTAGTGACGACTTCATGTTACAAAAAAGTGAACCATTTCTTGGGTCACGTAAAGGCAGCGCTGATGTAAGTAAGTGGAGTATAAAATAGAGCCGCGAGAAATTTAAAATGACTTAATGACGTTATTTTTTACTAATTTCTTATAAATATTAAATAAATCCTTCCGCTTATCTACAGCGTCTGACGTTGTAAGCGCAACTTCGTTAGTAGTCTCTCCCAGAGCCAGTATATGTATAGAGTACCGCATTCTTTTGCCGCGTCAAATGCCGCCGTCGGCGCCATGTTTACTCCTAGTGGTCAGTAAGTCAGTATATCTACAGTCGTGGCACCCTAGATAAATGATACTATAGATAGGAAACTTGAACAAATTTCGTGGTCATTAACAGCGCTAACTGTCGACACTTTCTCCAACTTCTATTGTTTTCCTTCTCTAGGAATTATCGGTAATACAGTGAGTTAAATTACCTGTAGCCGGTAAAAGATGCAAGCGCCATCTAGTTGTACGCTCTACAACTATATACCTACCTACTCAATATTTGTTTTAGGTATTCTGCCGCCGCTAAATTTAAAATTACATAACAAATCTCACCCTACACAGATCACTCAGAAATTGATTTTGTAAAATAATTTTCACGTAGATAATTTTTTTTGTCACCATGAGAAAATAAGTACATTTGATAAAAAGCATTAAAATCACTCAAGCATTAAAGACACTTTTAAATGCTCTAATAGTCTTCCTACTTAAAATAAGAAATAATTTTGATACTGTAACTTTTTAAAATGTTTGTTGAAAAAATTTCAAATTTCAGTACATATTTTGAAAAAAAAAGAGTGAAAATGATTATAGAGTTTCAGTGCTTTCTATATTGTATTAGCTTTCACGGTGAATAAAAAAATATTACAAGTAAATAATTTTACTAAACCAATCTTTGATTAATTCTTGTAATAGAGATTTATTATGCAACTTTAAATTTTTCGTTGTGTTGATATCCATAAAAAAAACTACCTACCTCTGATCACATTTTTTATTAAAAAAAAAAAAAAAACAAAACATTTTATTATTAATAAAAAAATGTGATTATATGATGATCAGACATTATTATGTTATATAAATAAATGTGAATGAAATATCTAATAAAACACACTAAAAACACAAATAAAACACACACCAACACTCGCCAAACCTAACCAACAATAAACAATAAACATGAACAAGAATGACATGAAATGATTCATAATTGCAATTGTCAAAATTTATTCTACAAAATCTTTGTTGCGACATCTATAGACTCTTTCCCCAACTTGTATATCCATCTCAAGTCACGTGGTTCCCAGTGTCCCCATATTTTCAAGTATAAGTTCTCGGGCCCTGCGTGGCACGTTAAAGTTCAAAGGACCAGAGCAACGGACCGGGCAAGTTCTGATAAAAGAATTGTGTCAATTTTTAGAGAAATGCCGTGTTGTTGTTCGGTTAATTGCTCTGAGAGATCAGAGAAAGGTACTAGATTGTTTTTATTGCCTCAAGGGCCGAAAAATGAATCAAGGAGAAAACAGTGGATAAATAATATTAACCGAAAAGATCGTCTTCCCGATCGTGCTTATGTTTGTGAGGTAAGAATATTTATTAGTGTATACTTTCGTAATTACATAGTTTAATGTGTATTATAGAAGCATTTTACAAGTGATCAGTTCGAAAATAATCGTGCTGATGGAAAGAGGCCATTACGTTGGAATGCAGTCCCTACCATATTTTCACATAAAACGGTTCCGAAACAGAGAAAACCACCTATGATCCGATGCGATAGAAAACGAAAAAGTATGTACCTATTAAAATTATTCTACTGAAACTGAAGGCTTTTAAAACTAAATTTGAATTTGTTAATAGGTTCAGAATGTGAAATACGAGAGGCAACTGTGGTGGAAAATTTCAATGAATTAGATGAGACTCCCCAAGAAGAAGAAACAAATCGACGTATATTGGAATTAAAAAGGAAAATAAATTTAGCTCAAAAAAGAATGAGGAGAATGAACGAGGAAGTTAATACGTTGAAGAAACAAGTGCATGTAGTTTTTAACAACGACCAAATCGATTTTTTAAAAAGAGGAAAGATGACTGGACGTCAGTGGCAGACTGATACAATTAAGAAGAGTTTGAAACTATATTTAACATGTGGTACCACAGGATATGAAGAATTAAGAAAACAAAAATATCCATTGCCATGTATTCGAACACTGCAAAAGCGAATAGAAGTGTTTAAGTTTCAGTCTGGTATATTACACGATTTGTTTCCTTTACTAAAAACAAAAGTTGAGTGTATGAAACCTCAAGAAAAGCAAGCTGTTTTGCTAATGGATGAAATGGCTTTGAAACCTGGTCTTGATTATGACAACTCTACCGGTGAGATATTGGGTATGTATTTCATGGTATTAAGTAAATCGATACTATTAACATTTAAAAATTACAGGTAAGCCTACAATTCCGACTTCAGGCGGAAAAGTTTCAGGTGATAAACTCGCGACGCATGCATTAGTTTTCATGCTTGCAGGTTTAACAACGAGGTGGAAACAAACAATTGCCTTCGAGTATACAGAAAACTCCTATGACGCAAATGAAGTCAGTAAAACAGTTACGGAAATAATAAAAAAGTGTTGCGAAATTGGGATTGATGTCTGTGCAGTAGTGTCTGACATGGGCCCTCAAAATCAAGCATTATGGCGTATACATGGTATTACTTGCTCAAGATTTTCAAAAATAAAAAATTCATGTCCTCATCCCTGTTTTCGCGATAAACTTGAAAAATTGTATTTTATGCCAGATGCACCTCACGTATTTAAAAATATGAGACTTGCTTTGACTGATGGTCATACATTTTACTTATCCGATGAAGTTATGAAGCGTTTTAAATTACCATCTAATATTGTAAATCTGGAGCCTGTTAAGTTACTCATATCTGAAGATGCCAAAGTCGATTTGAAGGTAGCACCTCGACTTAAAGAAAATATTATACAGCCAGGTCATTTCGACAAAATGAACGTAAGTTACGCATTAGCTTTAGTAAATCGTGATGTTGCGGCAGGAATTAAATTTTACATTGAGCAAAATAAAATTGATAAGAATTGTTTCACAACTGCATGGTTTTTTGAAATGATGCATAAATGGTTCTGTGTGATGAATTGCCGTTCCACTAAATTGGCAATAAGCCGCGATAAGGAGGAAGAATATTTGAACATAATTTCTTTTCTCAAAGATGTCTTACTTGTAATCGAGTCTATGAAAGTGGGCAAAAATGGGCATTGGAAACCTTTTCAAACCGGAATATTGTTGGCAACACAAACCGTCCTGGACATACAGAATACTTACATTAATGAATGTAATATAAAATATCTGATGTTAGGTCGATTTACTCAAGATGCATTAGAAAATTTATTTTCTAATGTTAGATGTAGAAATCCAGTGCCGAATGCCAAAGAATTTAAAACTGCATTGCGTTTGATATCTTTGTCACAATTTTTTTCTCCTCCAAAACATGGAAGTTACGGGGTAAGCGACTCAGAACAACTGCTTGAATTTTTAAAATCCAGTAGACACACTACAGAGGAAAATAAAGATGATGACATTGAATGCGAAGAAGAATTAGTACTTGGTTTAATCGACTTTAGCACAAATCATACAGTACTTACTCATTCAGAAAGGCAATCACTTTATTACCTGTTGGGGTCATTCGTACTAAAAATAAAAAATGATTATAAAAATTGTGATAATTGCTTATCTTCGGTCATAACACGTAATGATGATGAATCAATAAAAGACATTAGCAAGTTGGTTGATCTCAAATGTTATAAAGAAAATGCACTGCTATACCCAACAAAGTATATTTTTGACATTATGGTAACTGCTGAAATATTATTTCGCAAAGAATGCGATAAATTATTAACTGGAAGCTTAACAATAAAGCGATTAACAAACGAATTCATAAATGTTGCTGTAAACAGTCTTCCTACATGCCATAATATTTTTGCAAATATTCTTGCAATTTTTTTTAGAACGCGGTTGTATTTTTTTTTAAGAAAACGTTCTGATGATCTTATTAAAAAGACACAACAATCTGTAAAATGTGGAAGCAGGAGTATTGGAATGAGAATTGCTACAAAGAAAGTTTAATGTAGATATTTTTTTTAGTTTATTATAGCTTGATATACAGGGTGTTTCAGGATTATATGCAAAAATTTTAAATACGAATTGGGAATCGCAAAATAAGAAAAAAGTTCCTATGGACGTATGTTCGGAAACGATTCGTTAAGAAGTTACGGCCGTTTAAAAATGGCGGTCAAAATCGAGTTTGAAATTATTTTCTCATATTTGAAAACATAAAATCCTGAATTTATATCTACTGAGACCTACTACCTGATTGTAATAAAGAATTATAATAAATTGAACTTATTTCATGTTACGTCTTACATTCTTATTATTTAGACGAGGCACCCAATTAGATTAGTCGTTGAAATACAATCAAAAATTTTATTTTATTTTTTACTCAAAAACTATTTATATCATGATAAAGATGAAAGAGATGGAAAAGTTTATAAATTAATCTGTCTCTCCAAAAGATGTATTGCAACAATTGAAGGCCTAACGAGTGAGAATGTTTTCATGAAAAATATTCAGGGTGTTGTTGATTTCACCCGTTCCAAATAAGATTATTTTAACGAAAAAATACTGGTTAGATGGGCCTCGATCAGTATAATATCTGTACCAAAATTCAGGATTTTATCTATTTTCAAATTTGAGAAAAAAATTTAAACTCGATTTTGACCGCCATTTTTAAACGGCGGTAACTCCATGACGAATCGTTTCCGGACATACGTTCATAGGAACTTTTTTCTTATTTTCCGATTCCCAATTCGTATTTAAAATTTTTGCACATAATCCTGAAACACCGTGTATAATATAATTATTGATATGTATATATAATAGTCTAATATAGTGATAATATATTTATTATAGTTGTAGTTATAATATAGTTAATATTATAGTTTATTATAGCTAAATTATAGCTATTAAATTTGTCAGTTTGTTGTTCTTAACAAAGAACTTATATGTATACACTATTTACATAAATATAAATTATATATCTAGACTAGTTTTTAATAAATCTTAGTATTTATAAACACATTTTTGTTTTACTTCATAATTCCTAAAAAGTAAGTTTGGAAACGGATTAGAAGTGAGACGCGCTTATTAGGAGCGCACTGGAGTAAACATGGCGGCCGCCGGTCAGAATGCGGTACTCTGTTCATATACTGGCTCTGGTATCTCCAGTGCATCAGCGCTACAACGGCGACTCCTTCAACTTTAATTTAGATCATAAAACCGTATCCGAATTTGTATGCGCGACCCAAAAGAGACATTCAGGATAAGAAATCTGTTTAGTAATTATTGATGACGTACCCAATTTTATAAGTTAGACCATCCGCGTCCAGGAGGCAGTGGGGTCAACTCCTTTAGAACTAAGAAAACGCGACCCAAAACTTTTTTGAGAAAAATCTTCAGATCAAAACAGATTTTCGGTGTATGTTTAAGTTATAGACAGAAAATGAATATTTTCTGTGAACTTTTTTGGGAAATGTTGAGAATTTGTCTAATAAATTATTTTATGTAGAATCCAGTGGCGTACTTAATTTTTTAAGAACGGTTCTCGACTTGCAGGTCAAAATTATTATTTTTTTTAAGTAGAAACCATAATAAAGAGCTTTCTCCAGAAATATATAGTTTGTAATACTTTGGTGTCAGAAAGTAAAACATTATGTTTAGAAATGTTTTTATTTCCAATCAGCGCCCAGTCCATTCTTCTTTTTAATCGAGAACAGAAAGTAAACTAGTACCTCTACCTAACTTTTTATTTTTTAGGAAAAGTATAACAAATTATAGATTTTTAGAAAGCACCTAAAACATCTTTTTCAGTTATGCCATGGCTAACTTTTCTATAGAAAAAATAAAACTGCATATACCTACTTCTTAAACAGATGTATAAGATAAACTGTCCAAATTTCATTAAAAGTTTAACTGTAGCCGCTATAGGAGTCACCCATAATATAAAAATTGATTTTCTGGCTATGACTCTAAAACTGCAAGTTTATATCTTTAAAAATAACCGGTATACTCCATCATGACATCAAAAATTGTGTATTTTAATAATGTTATGTTCTCTATTTCCATAAAATTAAAGGTATGATTAAAGGGTACAGGCGTGCCATTTTACATTTTTGATAGATTTTTATTTGAAATATTTTGAGCAGATAGATGGACATTAAAGAGCATCAAAAGTGTCGTGCGCCTTTCAGTTTAAATGAAAGTGTATATTTTACAACTATGCCTCCATTTAACTGAACTTGTATCTTATGCCATTTCCAAGGTACTAAGGGTATTTCGAAATCAGGGCAAGCTGAAATGTGGACATGGGCTGTGATAAGAGTATTATAGTACCGATTGGTCATGTGACTGACATGATTCCTTTTATTTAAAGCCAGCGCGTATCAACACTTGATTCAGTACGTTCGTTTCGTTATGTTGTCGCAACGTAACTACGCTTTCATAAAGTTTATCAGTTAAAACAGTTATGAAGAATATTTATGTTTAGCTATATTTGATTTTATTTTTTTTATATATGTAAGTATCAGTTTATGTTTATTAAGACTCTTGAACCAATAACAATATTCAATTACAAATTTGAGAATAGTTAATAATTATAAATAGATTTTGTAGGCTTATTTTATTATTTTCTTCTAATTAAGATTACTTTTTTATTAAATTAGTTCGTAAATTTAATTGTATTTATTAAGTATTGTTGAAATATCAAAATTATTAAATCAACAAATCTAATATGTAAAATATATTTACCTGTTCTAAAGAAAGAATTGTTTTTATTGCTTGTTTACTACAGAGAGGAAAGTAGCATATTCAAATTATTTGAATATTTCAGTATCACGCAGCTGTTCCGTGACAACCCATATAAGCGTACTTGGTTACTCACAATAAAGTTGTAAATAAATTTCAAATTCACGTTTTCAAATATTGTTACCAAAGAAGATATAGAGAAAACTAAATTAACTGAAAACCGAGATTCCACAGGTTTGAAATAAATACAGGTACATATTTTAATTTGTTTTATAAATATACATAAGTATATGTACCTACCTTGAAAGCTATGACACATAAACAAGGTACTCACATGTTAATATTTACACACTTTAAAGGTATTGGTCGAAAACGATAAAAATAAAGAAATTTATGGGTATTTAGGTGAATATGGACAAAATGGTAATTATAGTTGTTTTTATATATAACTCAATTTAATGAAATAGTTTTTAGAAATGTAGTTTCAAAATTGTTACATAAAATAACAATTTCTCTTCATTGTTTATGACATTTAAATAATTCTAATTTTGTACACATTTTGAAAAATAAGTATGTTTCCCCCTCCTCACTTCGTTCGTGCGCTCCACTCCGCTCTCCTGGGCAATAGACAACTTACCGGACTTATTGCACAATATATTATTGTGCTACTCAGGCCTAATCATAAACAAGGCTAATGCCTAACTGCGGTATTTCTGATTCCTCGTCTCTGTGAAGAATTACTGAGATTACCAGTTCAGTGGGAAGTTTATAAAACAATTTTTTGTAGAGTATGAGAATATATAATGATTAAAAACATGTTTAAATATATTCTATATTGAAAAATATTTGTTGTTGCTAAACTATTACTTACATTGAGCAACATTTATATAATTTGATTTTTTTCTGTTTCAGAGGGTCAAGTTCAAAATGTGTCTGGCTGTGCACTTTCTTGGCATGTCGGTGTGGGTATTGTCACATGCAGATACCTTTGCCACTGCCAATACTTCGTCCATGTCGTCAATAACAGGTACAAGCCGCACTTATACCTACCATGTAAAGTCCAAAATTCCCTTGTGTTTATATTTTGATATTTACTTTGTAATTCAAATTTTTGCCTTATGAACTTCGTAGGCAATGAACGGAATATAATTTATAATTTCTTATTGTACGGTCCAGTAGAACTGAAAAATATTATTGTGTGATGACAACAGCAGATGGGTTCGTTATAAACGGCAAAAATGTTTCACTAATCATCTACAAGTAGTACCTATACTACTGAAAGAAAAAAATAATAAATAATAAAATGAATGAATTATTGCAAACCTTTAACTGAATCAAAATATAAACACTATAATATTGTACTTAACCAATTTGTGAGGACTGTCAACAAAAAAAAAAACTAACTGGTAACGTTTTATGAAGTACCTTATAAAATTGTCAATGTGGTGTGAAAAATTACAACCATTCTCTTTTAGGACATGTAAAACGTCTACCACATAGATAGATAAAAACAGACTTGCCTCCGAGATCATTCTCGAGTGCATAATATTTAAAAAGGATAACCGTTTGCTCTTTAAATAGAGAGGTTATAACTTAAATTGTCCTATATTGTGACAAAACCTATTACATTGGAGGTAAGAGAAACTGGCGTCGCTTTTATTTTTTTATATGAAAATATTTTCACATAAATTTTTGTATTTCACTGATTGGTGGTTGGGATAAAATATGTTTGCAAAACTATAGTTTTTGTTTTCTGCTTCTTTGAAATTCATGCTGCAATGATCAAAGTAAACTCATTCCGTTTTTAAACGTGCTAACTTTAACAGTTGAAAGAGGACTTGATTTGAAACAAAAAAGTTCAGTCGCTTTCCAACCAGTGTTGATTTTATTTTTTTACCATTTTTCGTGATATCTAAAGAACAGCAAGTAATAACGAGTTTAAATTGGGTATGTCTTATTGGCGATCAATGTCCTTTAAAAATGACCTACAAATGATCAAGTTGAGCTTTTCTTAAGTTGAGCTTCTTAAGTTGAGCTCAGTTATAAGAAAAAATGTGCCTAAGCCTCACAATCAGTTCCAAGAAGCTCAGTTACAGAAGTTACAAAAAGCTCAGTTACAAGAAAAAATGTTGCAGTTACAAGAAAAAATTTTAATAGAAGTGAACAGAAAAACAGTGGAATATAAAATTTCAGTAGAAGTGAACACATTAAGTTTTCTTAAGTTGTGCTTAATTACAAGAATACATTATTATAAACATGGCAAATACCGTGTTGAAAAATGTCTTACAAAGTCAAAAATAGAAATTCTCTTTAAAAAGGGCACTGACTATCCCTCTACCTATGCCACTGGTATAGTGAGTCGTTTGTAGATCATTTTTAAAGGACCTGCAAACTAAATATGTCCAATTTTGTCTCGTTCATACTTGCTGATTTTTAAATATTTCGAAAAAATAGAAGAAAATAAAATTCGGTTACGAGACTATGTTCACATGAACATTTTATTCAAAATCAAGTATTCTTTCAACTGCTCAAATTAGTACTTTTAATAAAGGAACACCCTGTATTTGTTGAAAAATTATTAATCTATGTACAGAACACTACGTGAACAACTAAAATAGATTTTTTTCTTATATCTGTTTTTATTTTCACACCTTTATTGATACCAAAAAAGGTAAATATTCACATTGTAGGAAAATAAGGTGCTATCAAATTTTTGAGATAGAAGGAAAATTTATTGTCTGTAATTATTTATTTGCGGTAATTGTTGTTATTATTTAATTGGGTATTTCTGTCACATTGAATCCCTTATGCTAAAAGAATCATTGACTTTATAAATTTAGATTTGTCTAACTACAAATATCACACCGAGGAGTTCTTTTCGATTATATTAGGCGCTACAACACTGTTAACTTTTCGAAAACCATTGATTTCGCTCTCAAACTTCATATTGACAAAGTCAATGTGCTAATACAACTTTATTAATTTTAATCGTTAAGTGTATACATTCATACGTCACTGATCTAATATTTGTTAAATGGGTCAGAGTTCAGATTCGTCACCGGATATTTCTAGTGAATCAGCAACACATTCTCGTGAAAGACAACGATACTATTGTAAACGGAAATCTGAAAAATATCTGATACATGTCTAGTAGATATTATGACAAAACATCCATTACGCTTCGAAGAAATCTGGAAGTACTGAAGAAGTTTCCAGACGTCAGCAATCATCAGAAATAACGCGAAACTGTGGATATGAAAATTTTGAGAACGTATTCGACACAATTCAGTTTCACAAACTCGGTTTTCAATCTATGGAGTCACGAGTTGAGAAATTGGAATGTTTATTGGTAATTTTAGTGAGACAGGGAAATCAACCCGACGGCAAACTATACGAAGTGATTGGATACCCGAGTTTGACCCTGGAATGAAAGTTATCCTTCAATGAAAGAGCATATAAAGTTAATTAGCTCAATGAAATAAATGGATGAGATGATAATTTTATTGCCTGAAGTTATTCTAATTATACATATTGATTAAAAATAGATGTAACTAAATCATACTAATAAATAATCAATATCCTGGGAATTTTGTTGATGACGTTTTTAAGAGTATTGAAAGAAAAACAAGTTGTGTAAGACAAGGAAAACAAATTACTAACATATAAAGGTTGTCCCAAAATTCACGCACAGGTTTTTAATTAAAAATTGTGAATTTTCTGTTGATTCATAAAGTATGCACTATAGGGTTATGTATGGAGTAGCATATCGGGTAAATGGCCTCCACGGCTTTGCTAGTACATACGCTCTCTTTTGTCGAAATTTTCCATGACCGTTTTGCATAAATGCGGCTGAATTTCATTCATACAGCGCCCAATTTCCTCCCTAAAGGCGTGGGTGGTCGTGGGCTTCTTGGCGTAAACCTTAGACTTCAGAAAAACCCAAAGAAAAGAGTCCAACAGCGTTAAATCGCATTATCTCGGCGAATTCGGATCACCGAAACGGGAAATTACACTACCAGGAAATTACTCATGCAGTAATTGAAATGCTTCTGGAGCTGTATTGCATGTGGCATCGTCTAGTTGAAACCACATGCTGTCTACATCCATATCTTGCAATTTAGGCACAAAAAACTGGATTATCATGTTGGGATAGCGAGCGCCATTAACTGTTATTGCCTGGCGAGCCGTATTTTCTAAGAAGAATGGTCTGATGATGTCTTGAGTCCAAAATCCGCACCAAACAGTGATACGTTGTGGACACATTTGTTTCTCAACATAACTCGCGGATTTTCTGAGCCCTAAACGCTACAATTTTGTCGATTAACGAAGCCGTAAAGATGAAAATCATCCTAATAGAGATAATTTTGAAAAATCAGTATCCATTTGTTTCATAATCGATTCAACGAACTCTCTTCGCTCTACGTGGTCAGTAGTGTTCAATTTTAGAGAGCTTTTCGAAATGTCCAATTCCTGGACTCTAACAATAAGCAATATTCTCACGAACTTCTTCGATGTTTTGTGTTGAACGAGTTGTTGGAGGATGGCCATAGTGTTTAAAATACTAACTAATACTTAACTGACTTTGTCCGACGAGTCCAGATAATGACTCAAAATTTAAAAAATTGTTATATAACTTACCTTCTGATTATAATAAACATTATATTAGAGAAGCTCCTCGACCTGTAAACATCGGAATGGATAAACATAGAGTATATAAAAAATGGAAATTTGAAAAATTTAAAATTTGCACACAGTAACATGGTCAATGGAGTTCGGAAAAATTTTTGGAAAATGGAGATAATACTGTACGGAAAAGTAAATATAAAACACAATTATAGCCCTGTTGACTATAATTTATATAGGAAATACGACACGACTAATTATAGTAAGTGCAATTTGCGTCACACATTACCAAGTTGTATTTAAATTGTATTTGCTTCAGTGTTGCCTTAGGATATAATGTGTTTAATAAATATTAATCAAATTTCAAAACTTCATAAATTTTCTACAAAAATTGTTATACAGTACGCGCCTAAAGTATGGAATAAATTCAGTAAAAACGAAGCAATTTTTTTTTGGGAAAAATCCTCGAACAGGTCGATTTTTAATTTAAAAAATGCATTTTTTAGCATAAAAGGCGATTTTCAACCGTCATTTGTTTTCAAGTAATGACGTCATCGAAATTTTTTTTAAATAGCAAACCTCTATTTTTTTTCTTGATTCTGAAAGATCGTTAATTATCAATCCGACAGTATTAAAATGTTGCCATCTTAGATAGGAAAGTTTTCGAATAAATTTTATTCATTAAAAAAATAACAATTCCTATGTCAAGCAAATACAATTCATTAAATTTTCTACCTAAATTAAGTGTTCGAATTGCCACCCACCGACTTCTTGATAATCCGCAAGTCTGTGTAGAAATTCTTCTTGCACATTATGAATTATTTCTGGGGTAACTGTGTATTTCATCTATAATACAATTTTGGAGTTCTTCTAAATTATGTGGTCTATTAACGTACACTTTGGACTTTAAGTAGCCCCATAAGAAATAGTCCAGGGGTGTAAGATCTGGGGATCTCGCGGGCCATTCCATCGGTCCTCGTCTGCCGACCCACCTCCTAGGAAAACAATTGTCAGAAAATCTCGAACAGGGCGCGCATAGTGCGGAGGTGCACCGTATTGCTGAAACCATATGATGTCATCAGGAATATCAGAGTCATTTTCGTTAGGAAAAATTACTGCAAGCGCTGGAACAAGGTCATTTTGTAAAAACTCTAAATATCTTTCTCCTGTAAAGGTTCCTTCAAAAAAGAAAGGCCCTACTATTCTGTTGTCAACTATTCCAGCCCACACATTTAATTTCTGTGGGTGTTGGGTATGTGTCTCTGCCATCCAATGAGGATTTTCCCGACTCCAATACCTGCAAGTTTGACGGTTCACTGTACCATTGAGACAAAGCGTGGTCTCGTCTGAAAAAAGTATTTGCCGGTGTAAATCTCTATTTACTTGACATAAATCCATCATAGT